TGCCTGGATGAAGAAGAAGAAGTCCAGGGAAACCTCCTCCAGCCGCGGTGGCGATGGCAAGTGCCGCGGCAAGGCTTCTTCAGAGAAGAAGAAGAAGAAGAAGAAGGTCGACCCCAACGCCTGCCGGCGCTGTAGAAAGACGGGCCATTGGGCAAAGGAATGCCCAAATCGCAAGTAGGAGAAGAAGGTTGAAGCTCATTTAGCGTAGGCTGATGAGGATGATGAGGCCACTCTCCTGATGGTGACGTTATGTGCACTGTACGACGTTGAAGTCAAGGAGAAAGGAGAGGTGATGACGGTGGAAGGGTACGGCAAGGCTCTGAAGGCTGTCAACCTCAACGAACCACGCTTCCAAGTCCACCTCGGACGTGTGGGTGGTGAGCAGGAGCAGTGGTGGTACCTGGACTCCGGCGCTAGCAACCACATGGCGGGCTCCAAGGAAGCCTTCTTTGAGCTCGACGGCAACGTGACCGGCACAGTAAAGTTTGGTGATGGCTCAAGGGTGGCGATCCGAGGGCATGACACCATCATCTTCAGGTGCTAGAACAGCGAGCATCGCGCGCTGATGGATGTATATTACATCCCACAGCTACGTTCAAGCATCATCAGCATTGGCCAGCTGGATGAGCGCGGCAACGAGGTACTGATCAAGGACGGTGTCCTCAGGATCAAGGACCGGGAGCAACGTCTTCTTGCTAAGGTGCAGAGGTCCCAGAATTAGCTATACCTGCTCGACTTAAAGGTGGAGCAGCCTATTTGCTTTGCTGCACGGCACATGGAGGAGCCGTGGCTGTGGCATGCCCGATATGGCCATCTTAGCTTCGACACTCTTGGTTGGCTAGAGAAGATGGTGACTGGGCTGCCTCATATCAAGCACGCAGGCGAGCTATGTGATAGCTGTCTGGTCAGGAAGAAAAGAAGTCTGCCATTCCCGAAGACGGTGAAGTACCACACGGCAGAGGCCCTCGAGCTGGTCCAAGGTGACCTCTGCGGGTCGATCACGCCAGCGACGCACGGTGGACGCAAGTACTTCATCTTGCTGGTGGATGACTGCAGCTGGTACATGTGGCTGTAGCTTCTGACCAGCAAGACCAAGGCAGCGGAAGTGGTCAAGAAGTTCAAGGCGCGCGCGGAGGCGGAGAGCGGCAAGAAGCTGCGCGTGCTGTGGACTAGTCGCGGCGGCGAATTCACTTCGGTGGAGTTCGCTGCGTGCTACGCGGATCAGGGTGTGGTGTGACACCACACCATGCCGTACTCGCCATAGCAGAATGGCGTGGTGGAGCGGCGGAACCAGATAGTGGTCGGCATGGCTCGATCCATGATGAAGTCCAAAAGTATGTCGACAAAGTTCTGGGGAGAGGCGGTGACCACGGCGGTGTTCATACTTTACCGCGCGCCCACCAAGGCCCTGAAGGGCAAGACGCCGTTCGAGGCTTGGCATGGACGCAAGCCGAATGTGTCCTTTCTCAGGATATTTGGCTGTGTCGGCCATGTGAAGAACACCAAGCCTCATCTCGGCAAGCTAGAAGACAGGAGCATGCTGATGGTGCTCCTGGGCTATGAGGAGGGTACCAAGGCATATCAGAACTATGATCCCAAGAGAGGCAAGGTGGTGATCTCTAGGGATGTGGTGTTCGATGAGATGGCGGCCTAGGACTGGAACGGTCCAGGCACAAGGAAGCTGGCAGCTTGAGCAGCACCTTCGCGCGTCGAACACTTAGTCATCCATGGTGGTGGAGACGCTGGAGAAGAGGTGCTGACCACCCCAGGAGTGGTGCCGAGCGGTCGAGCAGCAACGCCGACCACTCCAGAGGGGGTGCCGAGCACTTCAGCAGTAGTGTCGAGCGCTCCAGCAGTGGAGCCGACTACTCCGGGAATGGTGCCGACCGCTCTAGCAGTGGATCCGACCACTCCGGTAGTGGTGCTGAGCGGTCCAGCAGTGATGCCGACCACCTCGGCAGTGGTGCCGAGCGGTCTAGTAGCGATGCCGACCACTCCAGCAGAACAGGGAGGCCATAGACCACCGATCGAGTTCACCTCTCCACCCACCGACATCGACGAGTACATGGACGCTTTCCACGATGCCGAGGATGTCCGGTTCAGGCAGGTGGACAACATCGTCGGCGAAGGGGGAGCTCCTAGGTTGGCCAGTCATTTTCTCGACGACCTAGAGCTGCTCCTTGTTAGTGTAGGGGAGCCACCGACGTTTGCAGTGGCTGAACGCGATGACAATTGGCGTCAGGCGATGTTGGAAGAGATGAAGGCCATCGAGGATAATGGGACATGGGAGCTGGTGGATCCACCGGTGGGCTGCAGGCCGATCGGGTTGAAGTGGGTCTACAAGGTGAAGCGGAACGAGCGTGACGCCATTGTCAAGTACAAGGCTCGGCTCATCGCCCGTGGCTTCGTGCAGCGTGAGGGCATCGACTTCGAGGAAGTCTTTACTTCAGTGGCGCGAATGGAGTGCGTTCGCTTGTTGTTGGCCATGGCAGCAGCGAAGGATTGCCGCGTCCACCACCTCGTCGTCAAGTCTGCGTTCCTCAACGGTGAGCTCGCGGAGACGGTCTTCGTCAAGCAAGCTCCACGCTTCACCATCAAGGGCGCTGAGCACAAGGTGCTCAAGCTGCACAAGGCACTCTACGGGCTGCGGCAGGCCACTCGGGGGTGGAACGCCAAGCTCGATGTCACCTTGGGCAAGCTTGGGTTCACTAACTATGCCACAGAGCACGCGTTGTACATGCGGCGATGGGGGAAGAAGGAGCTCGTCGGCGGCGTGTATGTGGACGACTTGATCATCACTAGAGCGTGGACGGAGGACATCGACGGCTTCAAGCGCGAGATGGCTGCTCATTTCAAAATGAGCGATCTCGGCGCACTCTCCTACTACCTCAGTATTGAGGTGAGGCAGGGGAAGGAGCACATCTCCCTAGGCCAGCACGCCTATGTGGAGAAGCTGCTGGAGCGCAGCGGCATGGCGGAGTGCAAGCCATGCGCAACTCCAATGGAGGAGCGGCTGAAGCTGTCCAAGCACAGCATGGCGGCGAAGGTGGGCGCGACGCGCTACCGGAGCATCGTCGGTGGGTTGCGCTACCTCACGCATACTCGACCAGACATGACGTTCGCGGTCGGGTATGTCAGTCACTTCATGGAGGACCCACGCGAGGATCACTGGACGACGGTGAAGAGGCTGCTGCGCTACGTCAAGGGGACGCTCGATCAAGCGATCATCTCTCCCCAAGAGTGGCGGCAAGGGTGGGCTACGGCTCACGGTCTTCAGTGAGGCACCCCCAAGGCAAAGGAAGGTGAGCCAGAGCCCACTGTTTTCAGTGACACAGACATGGCGGGCGACATCGACGGGCGACGAAGCACCTCTGGCGTGCTCGTCTTCCTTGGAGCACCCCCCATTGCTTGGTAGTCGCTGGCGCTGTCGACGTGCGAGGCAGAGTACGTCGTAGCAGCCATGGCGGTGTGCCAGGATGTCTGGCTGCGTCGGCTGCTGGGCGAGCTGACCGGCCAGGAAGCTCACCCGCCAGCTCTGATGGTGGACAACCAGCCCACCATCGCCATCGTCAAGAATCCTGTCCTCCACGACCGGAGTAAGCACATTGACATCAAGTTTCACTTCCTCCGGGACTGCATCGATGGAGGGCAGATCGTCATCGAGTTCGTCGAGACCGGCAGACAGCTCGCTGACATCCTCACCAAATCACCTGGGCGCCTACGGTTCATGGAGCTGAGGAAGATGATTGGCATGGATGAGGTAAAGGCATCAGGTTAGCAACAGGATTAGAGAAAGAATTGTAAGATATAATCTGCTTCTGATCTCTCTCTCTTTCTTGCTACAGCAGAGTTGGCATTTGGTCAGCTCGGTTGTTCGGTCTCTACTGCTGTAGCAGTATGGCAATAGGCCACCTCTAGTATATTAGTTGGTAGCTATTACATCAGCCATGTCTTGGTAGTGGGCTGATGTAAGCTTTGTACTGCTAGTAGTAGGAGTAGTTGGTGTAACTTAGGAGTAGGTAGTTGGTGTACTCACCAACAACTATATATCTAGTAGAGGTACTAGCACTTGTATATATATCACACCTAAGGCAATGCAAAAGAGTAGTTCAGTTTGCCACATCCAGATGCAGAGCTTTCGGCCAGCGCTGGGCTTGTGCTGTGTGTGTGAGTTATTCTCAATATCTTCTTTTACCTCTAGCCATAGTGAGTGAGTGTGCTGGTAAGCTAACTGCTTAACTGTGCAGGGCAGCCGAGGGACCAACAGATTACACAGCAAACTTTTCTGGATTCTCCTGGAAATCAAGTAGTATCACAATGGCTTTGTTTTGGAAACAAATGAGCTCTTGAGTAAGATGCGTGGTAGGATCATGATGTACTTCACTGAACGACTGAACGTTGAGTTTTGCCGAATGTCAAAGCTACTTCTGAACAGACGCATGTGTCTGCTCCACAAAAGCCATATCGTGCGCTGTGGTCACAGACAGACAGACAGGTTTGCATCGTCAATGGCCTCTTGCCACGCGCGCGCGCGCGCACACACACAGACTTGTTTGGATTCGATGAGGATATGACCTTGGCAACAGAAGAAACAAAAATGCTCAAAGCTAATCAGGTTCATGTGCTCTGCATCCAACCCATGGACTAGTGTTGATCATCTATGGGTCTCCATCGATCATTTCTGTTTTTCTTTAGCCACCTAACTAAGAGGTCAAGGGTGAGAGTAACAATAATCCACCCCAAGTCAAATGTACATGGAAGCTGGCCATGATAACACTACTTGACAACAACGTAAGCTGAATCACTCGATTGATTTCAGCCGCGGCACTACTTGAAGAGGATATGACCTCGACGACAGGAGCTTAACTAACGAGAGGAGAGGCCCCTGGTCACGGTTTAGTCCAGTGTCACTGTCTGAATGTCTGATACAACGGCAGTGCATGGGAACACTGCTCCTTCCTTTCGCTTACGTCGTGCTGTAGATTGGTCGGCTGTTGACCATGACCAACGTGGTGCTGCTTCTCTTCGACCCACATCAAGAAATTGACATAACAGCCGTGTGGTGGAAAGATTGGCTCTACCGATTTGGCAACACCACCACCGTCCAGGCAAAAGATAACACAAGTACTGTACATTCATGCGCCAGGGACAGCAAAGTCGAATTGGCATCCTGATTTGCTAAAGCTTTTGGTTTAACTGTCTCATTGAAATTCTTTCGGCTAGCGCAATCAATTTAAATCCGGTGTTAGACATAATCTGTTGCTCCCATCTCTCTCTTAGACTAGTTGGGACATGTCTTTGCCTGGTTTAAGAGATGGAACTGGTCGGCTCGGCTGACCACTCACTGCTGAGGTAGAGATGGCTGGGCTAAGTCTTGTACCTTAAGAGTAGATAATTGGTGTACTCACCAACAACTATGTATCTTAGGAGTAGGTAGTTGGTGTACTCATCAACAACCATGTACCTGGTAGAGGTACAGCTAGAGTTGTATATATTCCATCCAAAGACAATGGAAAAATTCAGTTCAGTTTGCCACATCCAGAAGTAGAGCTTTCAGCCAGCGCTGGGCCTGTGCTGTGTGTGTGAGTTGTTCTTAATATCTTCTTCTACCTCTCGTCATAGTGAGTGAGTGTGCTGGTAAGCTTACTGCTTACCTGTGCAGCCGAGGCACCAACATCCGGTACTATGTTTCTGTTCACAAAGAAGGGCGATGCACAACTTGTTGCCTTTTCCGTACTGTCTGTCCTCTGAATTCTTGGGAGATGGTAGCGTGCAGACTGGGATGAGAGAGTGTTAGATACAAGTACTAATTGGCTTGCTAAATTTGAGTGGGGAGGCCAGTCCAACAATGGGAGCGAGGTTCTGGCCTTGATGGATTTGTCAATTCTGATGGTTGCAGATAACAGACTTGTATGATTGACCACCTCATATCTCTGTCCAATCCAATCGTTGATTAGCTGATTAGCATGTGGAATTTTAAGGTCGAGTAGTGATATCGTTTCTGTTGAAAGCTATGTCAAATGCTAGCCAATATTAGTAATATGTCTGATACCAACTAATTAACGTAAATTCATCGTGGAACATTATTTTATGGTAATACCTTTTTCAGAGTCATAAATGTTTATATCGTTTTTTGACCCGAATATCAGTCCCACACTCAACGTTCAGATAGAGATCGGACTGCATTTGACACCAGGCCTACATGTCACTGTTTCTCCGTGCAACCTCAGCTGGGCCCACTAAATCATAAGAAAAAATGGTGAGGCTAACATGTGGGCCTAGGGCAGCAAGCACGGTTCAAAGAAAAAATGGTGGGTTTGTACTTTGTAAGAAAACAAGTCAATGGCCCTGAGTGTTGGGGGGTCTCTAAAATGGGTACGGTAGTTCGTGGGTTTGTGCCTATTAGCCCCAAATGTTGGTGGATTTGAGAAATTTACCCTGTATTCTTTTGTTGACTATTAGGTTTACATGTAATAAGCTATGCCTTGTTTACACTTTTAAGTCACAACAGCCAACAGAGCGCTGAAGACAGGGTCGTCTCTAGGGGGTGGGCAAGAGGTGCGACCGCCGAGGGCCCAAGCCGCTAGAGGGCCCATATTATATATGTATACATAGTAGATATATATAACCATTATAATAAATTGTTTAAGGCCTATATATTTAGCACATCAGCGTATGAGAGGCCAGCGTCTTTTCCTATTCTCAATGGAATTGTCTTTCTCAGTATAATTTTCGAAGATTTTGCATCAACAAATGCTCGAAGATGTTTTTTTTACAAAGCATTGAAGCATTATTGTTTTATTTGAGGTAATCATATAATAGTTATTTTATTGTTATTTTCGTTTTTTGTTTATTACTATTGTTAACTTTTACAAACTAAACATACGTTGTAATTTATTTTCTTGGTACTATATACCTCAGTTGTTATATTAAAAATTAGTTTAATGGGCCTTCGCGATCATGTTTGCCCGAGGGTCCTTAAAATTATAGAGACGGCCCTGGCCGAAGAAAGGGCCCCTCCATTTCTTATATGCTGCCACATTTTATGAATGACTGAGAACCTCTATTAACATTAGTCTGCTTTGTCAAGACCAGGTTAAAAAATATCATATTAGCAAGTTGGAGCTATCTTTCACCCAGGGAAGATGGAACTATGAACAGTGGGGTGGGTTTGATCCTATGTCAACTAAGTGCCTGTGTAGTTCCCAAAATTTTGCAAAATTTTTCAAGATTCCCCGTCACATCGAATCTTTGGACGTATGCATGAAGCATTAAATATAAATAAAAAATAAAACTAATTACACAGTTTAGATGAAATTCACAAGACGAATATTTTAAGCCTAATTAGATTATGATTGGACACTAATTGCCAAATAACAACGAACGTGCTATAGTACCATTTTCTAAAAAAATTCGCCAAGTAAACAAGGCCTAATAATGCAAAGCCTCCTGGTGTTGAGCTGTGGGCAGTTTTTTATCATCCTTTGAGATTGACGCAACATGGAAGAACCTGACACATACACTCTCTGGCCTGTTCTGTGCATCCATCAACTTTTTAGAGTCCTCCACTGCATTTTCTGCTCCTCGTTGGGGATTTAAATTGAATGAAGGCAATTTGCGATATGGTACATTGCCTCGTGAAGCCGTGTGCACTGAGAATCTGACACCTTGGTTGAAACTTCTTCAATGTCGTGACAAAGCTGGGATAGCTTCTTTGCTGTACAGGCCTTCAATTTACAAAGGATATTACCATTCGCAAAAACTGAAACTGAGATCCTCCAAGTCACTTGGTATTATTCTTGATCAAACTCTGACTGTTATGCTGCAACCAAATACTGTAAGTGGCGAAGGCGAACAGCTACATTCCAATCTTGGTCAACTTCAGCCCAACTGGTCCATAAGACATCTTTTCAACAGAAAGTTGTCAGGGAAATGCCTTGTTTCTAACTCCAGCAGAATATTCATTGAGGTTGATAAAAGGCATTGTTGACAAAGTTAACAAATCTGGAAGTGATCTTTCTTTGAATAGTGAATTCTGTGTATTGTCTAATAGCCCAGACAAGTTGATCAAAGGCCAAAGTCACATAGAAATTCAATTTCTTTTTTTATATGAATATGATGCTAGTAACTACAGTGAGGAAATACCTTTGGATGTGGGCATAACATGGAAGCTTCCCCTGATATGGACTTGCACCCCGTCACCTTTTCATGCAAGCAGATTTCTTATGGGCAGTGGACATGAAAGAGGGTCAATTGCTCTGTCGTTTATGTCCATTAATCTTCATAAGCAGATATCTGGCAGCCCAACTGACTGTTCATTAAAGGCAGTTATTTTCCAGGTTGTTCCATGGTATGTTAAGGTCTATTATCACAGCCTAGAAATATTTATAGATGGGAGCAGGAAGACTGTGTCAGAAGTAGTTGACAAGATTCATGTCACTCCTTCAGAAGACAAGCTTTTGCCTGGTACCCTGGAGATGCTATTAAGATTCCCTTGCAGTATGCAGCCGGGTACTCTGATATTGGATTTTGAGAAGGTATGCTCTGCTGCTTAAGTTACTTGAATGTACCTTCCCATTGGGTAGAATTTCACACATTTCTCAATTGGTCCTTCAGCCTGAATCTTCATTTGTTATTTGGCCCTTGAGCAGTCTTAATGCAATGATGTCCAGAAATAAACATTGCGGTTTTAGTTTGTGATAATGTTAACTGCGCATGAAATTTCAGGGATTCCTGCATATAGATGAATATCCTCCTGATGCTAATCAAGGATTTGACATTCCTTCAGCTTTGGTTAGCTTTCCTGAGTTCAGTTCTACTCGAAATTACCCTGAAATTGATCCAGTACTTGGATCTCTTTTACTAGAAAATTTCCAGGTAAACCCATCTGAGATGTCATTGAACTGATCAGTTGTCTAGTACTAGCTGATTTCCTTGCCATACATGAATATAAGTAAGTATTTGTGCTTCATTATCGTTGCAGAATGCCAATATCTCAGTGTTCTCGCAGAAGATAGTGTTGTGAAGTCGATATCTGAAGTATTGCTCGTTCCCGACAACTCCCCGATTTCAGCATGTCATACAATGTCATCACCTTCACATGCAATTGTCTTAGCTCTTTACTTTGGCTCATTATTGAATACTTTGAGACGAAGGATTGGCGAGGAAGAGAGGAGTTGAACAAAACAGTAAGCACAAATATTTATGTTGTTTGGTTTCATTTTTACGATGCCTCGTGTTACAGAAAAATGGTTACGTACTTCAGACTTCAGATGATAATTTGGTTGATGCCTTGATGGTATTCTTCCCTTTTACCTGAAATGTAAATCTAGTACTCTATACTCCAGGACAATATTAACGTAGACATCAGGGGATGGTTCATGGTTGATGTTATTTCTTCTTTGGGATCTAAAATTTAAAACCAGTATTCTTCTAGGGTCATTAAGACATCAAATTTTGTCTGAGTTAGTATAGGTTGATGTGTATGGTACCACACAGCTTGTGCTCTAGTATAACAGCTATATTCAATGCAGAAGATGTTAGGATCATGAAATACCTCTGTTAAGTAGATCAGTGGTAAGCCCCTTGGACACCAGTGTCGAGGGAGCTCGCACGGTGGAGTCCAGCGTGGTGGAGATGTCCAGTGGCGACGGCGGAGTTGGTGGGGCTTCCCGTCGCTGGCAGCACTTCCTTTGGATCGGGTTAGGTTTTCTGTTGGTGGATCACGGCGGCTCAGACCAACCTCTTAGTTAGAGCTGTGATCCCCACCTCTCTTTTATATGTGCTGTGCGACAAGGGCCAACCAACCATATTAGGGTTGGGCGCCCCCGATCAGGGCGCAGAGACAAGGGCCCAATAGGCCACGTGGAGATCAACTAACATTCTCTCCATTGATCTCACTACCATCTTTCAATTTCATATCATTTATTTTTGTTCATTCCATTACAGATTAGCGCATAGAGCATGTTTCATCATCACGGTCAATTGCCGATAGATTTAACAACTACAACACACCACTCTGTTCTGAAATAGATACTTAACTTTGGGCCTTCTTTTGTCCAGGAATTTTAGGCTTTCCTTAAACCCATGCTAGCTACATGTTTTCTGAACACGTTGGGTGGCAAGCCTTTTGTAAGCGGATCTGCGAGCATCTTTTCTGTACTTATATGCTCAAGACTTATGACATGATCCTGGACTTTATCTTTCACAACATAATACTTTATATCAATGTGTTTGGCAGCACCACTTGACTTATTGTTGTGAGCATACTGTACTGCTGAATTATCATCGTAGTATTACTTAAGTGGTCTATAGATGTCGTCAACCACCTTCAAACCGGGTATGAACTTCTTTAGCCAGTTCACCTACCCCGTTGCCTCATAACACGCTACAAACCGTCATACATTGTGGATGATGTAGTGACGGTTTGTTTTGAGCTTTTCCATGAAATAGCTCTCCTTGCGAAAGTGAATACATATCCAAACGTGGATTTTCTATCATCTCCCGCATAATCAGAATCTGAATATCCTACTACATGGAGTGAATCAGATCTTCTATACGTCATCATGAGGCCTTTCGTTCCTTGCAAATAACGCAAGACTCTCTTTACCACTTTCCAGTGTTCTGTTTCCAGGATTGCTCTGGAATCTGCCAAGTAACCCGATAACAAATGTCAAGTCAGGGCGCGTACATACTTGAGTATATTGCAAGCTTCCGACAACTGAAGCATATGGAACCACTTTCATTTGATCGATCTCATAGTGGTTCCTGGGGCATTTAAAATCCCCATATCTGTCGCCCTTGACTATAGGAGCAGGTGAGAGACTACATTTGTGCATACAAAATTTCTTTAAGATCTTTTCTATGTATGCCTTTTATGACAGTCCTTATACCCCTTTACTTCTATCTCGGTGACTCTCGATCCCTAGAACGAACAAAGGTTCACCAAGATCTTTCATATTAAATTTTGACAAAACCTCTTTGTCTCCAGCAGTAGACTGACATCACTACTAGCATGTAAGATATCATCCACATACAAGACAAGGAAAATAAACTTCCTATTCTTAAACTTTTCATAGACATAATTGTCCTCTATATTCTCTTTAAACCCGAAATTCTTTATTGTCTAATCAAACTTCAAGTATCACTGTCTTGAAGCTTGTTTTAATCCATAAATGGATTTCTTTAGGCGGCATCCCATTTGTTCTTTTCCTTCCATGACAAAACCCTTCGGTTGTGCCATGTAAACATTTTCCTCTAAGTCCCTGTTGAGAAATGCCGTCTTTACATCCATCGGATGTAATTCTAAATCGTAATGTGCCACTAATGCCATTATGATTCTAAAGAAATCCTTACATGAGACTAGAGAAAATGTCTCATTGTAATCAATCTCTTCTCTTTGCGTAAAGCCTTTTGCCACAAGTTGCACTTTATATCTCTCTATATTCCCTTGGGAGTCAAGTTTTGTTTTATAGACCATTTATAGCCTACTGTTTTGGCTCCTTTAGAAATTATCTTCAAGTTCCAAACTTTATTGGCATTCATAGATTTCATTTCATCTTCCATGGCCTCAAGCCACTTTGATGAATGATCACTTTTTATGGCTTTTTCAAATGAGGTGGGATCATGCTCTATTTGAAATTCCTCAGTGTTGTATACTTCATTGTCAGCAGGAATAGCTGATTTTCTAACTCTTTGAGACCTTCTAGGGGCCTCCACATTTGGCACATCTTCTGTTTGAGGCTGTTGTTGCTCCCCCTCATGTGTGGCAATAGGTTCTATAGGATCCTGAAGAATAGGTTCCTTATCATCATTCATTGTTGCCACAGGTGGAATAACAACAGGTGCTGGCACCACAGTATCTGACACTATCGGTGCAGCGACAGCAAGTAGTGAGAAAAATAGCTCATGAATCATTCGTGTGGGCGCATACACCCGTTTCTATTCAAGGTCAATTTCTCGAGCTACCATGCTCTCCCTCATCAATTCATCCTCTAGGAAGACAGCGTGTCTCGTTTCCACAAACTTTGTATGTCTCTCTGGACAGTAGAAACGAAACCTTTTGACTTTTCTGGGTAGCCAATGAAATGGCAACTCACTGTTTTGGGATCTAGCTTCCCAATGTTTGGGTTAAATACTTTAGCCTCAGCAGGACTCCCCCACACATGTAAGTGGTTTAGTGAGGGTACTCTTCCTGTCTACAACTCATACGGTGTTTTGGGCACCGACTTACTTGGTACTCTATTGAGAATATGAATGGCGGTTTTTAACGCCTCCATCCACAGGCTCAACTGTAAGGTGGAGTAACTTATCATACTGCGCACCATATCTATCAGGGTACGATTGCGTCTTTCAGCTACTCCATTCTGCTGAGGTTCGCCCGGTGTAATATCCTAGGCTACTTTGCCATTTCCCTATAAGAACCTTGCAAAAAGTTCAGAAATATAGCCATATAGGGTATGCCGACCATAGTACTCCCCCACGGTCGGACCTAACTATTTTAATCTTTAAATTGCGTTGAATTTCAACTTTTGCCTTAAATATCTACATTTATCCAATGCTTCTGTTCTTTCTTTGATTGGATAAATGTAGACATAACGGGAGTAATCATCTGTGAATGTTATGAACGAATCATTACCATCCACACTCTTTACAGGAAACTGACCACAAATATCTGTGTGAATAATCTGTAAAATTCCTACGCTTTGTTTGGCATCTTTCTTAATTTTCTTTACATACTTTCCTTTTATGCATTCTCTGCATTGTTCTAAATCTGAGAGCTCTAATGGAGGAAGAATATTATTCTTAACTAGTCTTTCTATTCCCCCCCTCGAAATATGGCCTAAACGATAGCGCCATAATTTCGACGACACATCGTGAGCTCTCTTATGCCAACATTTCCAAAGTAACTCTCTGTTACCAGCTACTTTATCAGCTAGGTAGCATATGTCTTTGAAGAGCCAGTGAACTGACTCTTTATTCTATCGAGGTACTCGGTGACCGTGTCACACTCTGGGATTGAGCCCACAATTACAGGCTCAATCGTGTTCTTTATCACAGCCAAACACTTCTTGTTGACAGTGACCCACTTCCTATGCACAAGGGCATAGGACATCTTTTGCAGGATTCAAAATCCCTCTCTTTAGTTGCCCAAACGGCATCAGCCTCGTTTGTCTCCCTCACCTGTACCACAGGATCAGTGGGACACAGTGAGGTGACTACCCAGTCCATCTTAGCCAAGATGAAAACCAGGTTAAACCTTTTCTTAACATAAAAATAACAACAATTGCATGCCTTGATTCCAACGTTGATCAAAATCAAAACATACAACTCTTCTTATACATTAAATCTACATCACCGTTGGACAGAAATAGAAATAATGCATAAATCATTAAAATTTACGATATTGTTATTAACAACGTTGGTCAGAAAATAACAACATCATAAACATGTCAAAATCTCTTTTTCTCCAATTATACAACTGTTTTTATACACTAATTCTATATCACCATTGGACAGAAATAGAATTAATGCATAAAATCATTAAAACTACGATATTGTTATTAACAACGTTGGTCAGAAAATAACATCATAATCATGTCAAAGTCTCTTTTTCTCCAATTAAATATTACGTTGGTTCAAAATAACTGGAGAATAAACAACTTCTTTAGCAGCGGAATAACTCTCTTTTTTCTCCAATTAAATATCACGTTGGTTCAAAATAACTGGAGAATCAACTATTTCTTTAGCAGCGGAAAAATAATCTCAATTTAGTGAATTTTACCCACAGGCAAATTCTCTTTTCTATTTTCTTTAAGCCATTAATCAATTTTCAGGAAATAAACATTTACTGGAAAAGAAAAAACTGATTCATTTGTTGAGCACAGTTGAATCGGCCCAGCCGACAAAATAGATCGGCCCACCTCCTTTGCCCGCGCGCTGCCCGCACCCAGACCGCAACCTGGGCCTAGGCCGGCAAAGTCGCGCTGCAGCGGGCGCGCGCCTGGGCCAACCGGCGGTCCGCTC